TCTTGATACGGGCTCGCGCTCGGGGCTTTGTCCGGTGTCAAATTGGCTACATCGGGATTTGTTTCCAAATCCGGCCGCGTAGTCCAGCATGTGAGTTGTGTCCGGGAGTGTGAGCCGGTGACTGTATTAGTTACGTGCGACGCATCCGAGAGAGCAGGAGCATGCTGGGGGTGGGCCGGAGCGCAGAGAGATGGGGAACAGGTACACTAGCTTTTAGAAATTCGATATGAGCTTCTATGGAAGCTGAATGGAGTGCTTTCCTATGAGTTGATTTACATTAATCAAAAGTTAATCCCTGAGACCTTCCAAGTTCTCAGAAGTGAAAACGCGAAGGCAATTTTCTACATTTACCATATTTCTACACGCAGTAACCATTTCTGGCTCCAAACGCTTCGCCCAGAATCAACGGTATGTGATTGCTGAGATTCAACTTAACCGGAACGGCTGCTTGGAGCGTCTTAACACGCTTAAAACTGTGCGCATCACTTTGTTGTTACTCAACGCATTTCGAAACGCACAAAACATGTATTGTAGCATGCGAAAAAATAATTGCCGCTGCTTCGGCACCGGGAGTTTCCGCTCAGTGCCCTGAGGTTATGGCATGAATACTGCACCGCAGTACTGCTTGGTACAAAATGCTGGAACGATTTTTCACCGGTGTCAAGTCAAATCCCAAATATCGTGATAAGATTCTGGCGTTGATTGCAACAGGCTCAGAAAAGAAAGATACGATATGAAAGACGGGGAAACAACAGAAAAGACATTAGTATTAGGCTCATTCCTTGGATAAAAACCAGAAGAATGGAGACACAGTTGGGTTGATATTTCGGCAACATGCCTTTATCGAAACAAGAGCAGAAGTGACCTCTGACAAAGGACTTCTGCTATTGTTTCGATAAAGGCATGTTGCCGAAATATCAACCCAACTGTGTCTCCATTTTCCTGGTTTTTATCCGAGGAATGATGCTAATGCTAATGTCTTATCTATGTGAATAATGTTCCCCAATAATGCACTGAACACCTTACGAAAAACAAACAGCTTTTACGAGCGCAACCTTTTTTCCCCACTACCGTTTCCCACATCAAGGTCAACTTCTCACGGCACGCAGCCTGTGGGTGGCCTTCCAGAGCGAGCTTACCTCCGGGTACGGCCCGATCTCGTTGGTGACCTCCCAGAGGGCGGCTCGACAGACCGGCACGGCCGTCCAGCAGACGACGGCCAGCAGCAGCAGGGCGGCGGTCGCCATGGGTGCGAGGGCGCGCGTCGGCGGAGACGCTCGACGGCCGGACGGGAGCGGACTGGACGGCGGCGTCACCGACGACCGCTTTATAGCGCCGTCGGGCTGGCGGCTGGCCTACACCGCTGCCGCCCCCGGCCCGGCGTGGCCAGCGCGCCGCCCCGTCACTACGGTCGGGCTGAGCCGTCACCGTAACCGCGTAACCGAGCGCGTAACGTAACGTAACCGCGTAACCGAGCAGGAAGAGGTGCCTTAGCGGTTCTCCAGTGGTGGACTGAGTGTTTGATTGCAGCGCGCTCACTGCGCGTTCGCAAGTCATGCTTGTCGGATCATAGGCCAACGAGGAGACCGACAAATTCTGATGGCTGACCAGTTGCGGCTTTCGAACACCCGGGCATTCCAAGCCTACCGGAGGGCGGGGGCTGGGCAACTGCAGTCCGCGGCCCATACTTCTGCAACGCTCACGCCACTCAGTGTGCTCCTGCTCCCCGCTGCTCACGCCCATATCACCGGGAGACTGCTAGCTCGGCAGGTCCGAGGGCTCTTCCCACCCGTCTCAGTCGTTGGCACCTGTGATGGAGTTTCGAAGAGCGCTATAATGGTAGGTTTAGCTGACGACTGGACGCTCGTTGTCAGGATGCCAATTACAGCCTGGTTACCGATCGGACCCTGGTTTCCTGCCACACCCTGGTTACGTATCAAAGTCTGGTTACGTATCACAGCCTGGTTTATCATGCTCATCTGGTTACGTATTATAGCCTGGTTACCTATCACAGCATAGTTAATTATCGTAGCCTGATTACCTATCACATCCTGGTTGCTCAGCACAGTATGGTTCTATCACACTCTGATTACCTATCACAGCTGCGTGGAGTTGTCTGCTGTTTTCAATTCACGGAAGCCTTGCTATACGAAATATATGCGAAAGATGTTTCGAGCAAAACAGGCGTTCCGTCCAAAACCTCCTGTATCTTTCATGACTGACGGACGTCACTGACTCAGACCAAAAGGGAGATTCATGCCGGGACTGGTCTCTGAAGCGCTCCTGACTGTCAAGGAAGAGGAATGAAATTACATGGCCCTCTCCAAAGAGGGTCCTGTCTTTTTATGCTAAGCTAGGTGTCACGAGGACATCATGTCAGCAGCGTGGCAAAGCTCCAGCGCGCTCTCGCCGGCGGCGAGCCCCGCACCCCGGCAGCGGCTGTGGCGGCGGCACTTCAGCGCGCGGGGCTGCGGGCGCCCCGCTCGGCAGGGCGGGAGGGGGGGAGCACAGCGCCGATGGAGCGCGCCCCTGTGCCGGGGCGGCATGACCCGCGCCAGGCTGCCGGGGAGGGGGGGCCGTGACGTCGGCGCTGGCCCCTCTCGCAGCCGGCGGCGAAGTCGGGGTCACGGGCTTCCCCGCCATGAGCGGCCCGGTTATGACGGTCCGGAATGGGAGCCGGGAGGCCGAGGAGACGGCGGCGAGGTCGGTCGCCTCTCCGCGGCGCTCTTGAACGACGCGGCGGAGTGCCGTCACACGGAGCCGACTCTGGTCCGGCGGCCGCGGCACGACCCGGCAACGCCGTGGTGAAGCCCGAGGACCAGTCTCTGAGGTCGGGAGGTCGATCCAGCCGCGCCTCTGACGTGGGGGAGTCAGACGGGGTGCGCCTTAGCGTCGGGGTTTACCCAGCTACCTTGTTCGGTTCAGAGAAAGCTCACTTCGGTAGCTGGGGTAACTTCGGCTAGTTTTGGTGAAGCCCTTGACGATGGCAATGGGGCCTGGTCCAGCGTTCACTGTGATCATCAAAAGTAACTCTGAAGCGGACGTGATTCACAGGTGTCGTGTTCAGCCATGAAGTGTCGTTTGCCCACACATCTCGACTGTGTGCTCTCCCAGGAACCACCTCTGCCCGATCGGCCGTGACCCAAGCTTTCCAGCGGTGGCGTCAGCCCTTGGGGACGTATTCGCAGTCGCAGAGATCCGTTTGACCCATAAGCACAGCCACCAATGGTCGGTTTCCCACGAGAAGAACAGGCCGGCAACCTGGCCTGGCCGTGATGGGGGAAGGGAGGGATGGGTGGGATGGGATAAAAACCGGAAAGCAGCAGGAAATACATTGGGGATGAACTGAGCTTCTATGAGATTGTAGGCTTCCAAGGTCTTGCACTGAATCCCGGCCGCTGTTGGCTGCTCACAACCCATGCACTGACAGGTCGGACAACGTATAAAGCTCGTCATGTTCGTTGCTAAATGCCAACAGGCTTAACTCCATGGGGCGTGGTGATAAGCGTCGAAAATTGCTTGGCTGGCTCCAAACGTAGACGAACATCATGTTTATTCAGAGCCGTATTCTAATGACAAACCAGAGAACTCTGCCTG